CGGTGTCGCCGTCACCGCCGCCGCTCCCAGAAGGAGCAGGAGGATCCCGGTGGTCCCGGAGCGAGTCCCGGTGCTTCTCGTTCTAAGCCCGGTGGTCCCAGATCCGCTCCCGGCTGTTCCCGCTCTTATCCCGGTGCTGCCGGGTCTCATCCCGGTGTTTCCTGGCTCCTTTCCGTCGGTTCTGGGCTCTATCCCGGTTTTCCAATCGGGGTTCGTGTCCTGGAGCTCACCGGGAGCGGAACCGGGGCTTGGAGGGATCCGAGTGCTCGGTGCCGATTCCGGTACCGGTCAATCCCGGAGCTGATCCCTGTGTTTGTGCTGGCCCCGGTGTTGATCCCGGTGCTGATCCCGGTCCGTCCTGACGGTCCCGGCGCCGTCGCCGCCGCCCGTGGCCGCGGATCCCGTCGGGCCCCATTTAACGGGCGGGGGGAGGAGCTCGGGGCGTTCAAAAAGGGTGGAGGGTGGGGCGGGAGAACCGGGAATGAGGGAGGGAAAAGCGGGACGGACGAAAAGCCGGGATCGGGGGCAAACGCGGACACGGGGGAGACCGGAACACCGGCATGGGGCAACGAAACCAGGATAGAGGGAGGAAAACCGGGATAAAGGCAGGAAAACCGTGAGGGACGGAGAGAAAGCCGGGAGAAAGGGAGGAAAACCGAGAGGGAAGGAGGGAAAAGCAGGAAGGAGGAAGGGCGCGGCACGGGGGTCCATTTTCCCATTTAAAAGCCGCTTTTGAAGTGTTTTCCCTCTTTCCACGTGGATTTAGCACTGGAAGCGATTCCCGGGGAGTTTGGAAGCAGGATCGGGGGGCACAAGGGGGTTCAGCTCTCCCCAGCTGCCCACCCTCTCAATTCCCAGCACAGGGAGGGGTCGTCGCTGCGGCTCCCCTGGGAATGACATGAATCCCACTGCGGGACCCTCCGAGACGACCCCCGGGTCCCCCCAGTGAGCCCCCAAAGTCACCCCAACGCCACCTCCCCGAGACTCCTCTGGAAGCCACCAATTCCCCCCGCCCCGGCTCTCCCCTGGAGGCGACTCGGCTCCCGTTGGATTAATTTATTAATTAATTATCGACTGCTGGGAATCCAGGGACAGCAACAGCACGGATATGGGGGGGCGGGGTGGGATCGGGATTGGCCGGGAGGATCCCAGGGGATGGAGGATGGTCCAGGACAACCTGGGACCACCCAGGAAGATCCAGATTGGGACCACTCGGGACAGGCTGGGATGATCCGGGACAATCCGAGGACAACCTGGGCTGATCTCAGACGATCCAGGAGCACCCACGATGGTCTGGGATCACCCTGGACAATCCAGAACCGTCTGAATCTGGGATAGCCCAGGACGACTTGGGACGGTCCAGGACAATTTGGGATAATCTGGGATGAGCAGGGACAACTTGAGACCATCTGAAACAACCCGGGATAAGCCCAGTTAGACCATCCAGGGATGGTCGGGGAGCTCTGGTGGCTGTGGCAGTGCCGATTCTCTGCTATAAATACAGACAAGGTTGGACGTGTTTTTTTCTTGGGATTTTCAGGATTTTGGGAATTCCGGTGTCGCTGCCGTCGGAGCTACAGGGGAGAACGGGGGTGAGGGGGGTGGATGGGGGGGCAGGGGGCTCTGGGATTTCGCAGAATTCTGGAGCCGTGGAATGTTGGGGTCAGTCGTCCTCAGTGCCACTGCCGGAGCGATCCTGGAAAGGGGGGAAAAGGGGTGAGGAACTGGAGGCCGGGATGAGGCATTTGGGAGGTTCAAGGACGGGATTCGGGGGTCAGGTCGTGGATTTGGGA